ATTACAAAAAATTCGATCATGGATTACATAAAATTCGATCATGGATTACATAAAATTCAATCATGGATTACAAAAAAAAACAAACAAAAAAAAACAAAAAATTCAATCATGGATTACAAAAAAAGAAAAAAACAATTCGATCATGGATTACAAAAAATTCAATCTTGGATTATAAAAAACTCTCTCATGGGTTACAAAAAAAGCAAAAAACAAAAAATTCGATCATGGAAAACAAAAAAAAAACAAACATTTCGATCATGGATTACAAAAAAAAAAAACATTTCGATCATGTATTACAAAACATTCGATCATGGATTACAAAAAATTCTATCTTGGGTTGCAAAAAAAAAAAAAATACAAAAAATTCGATCATGGTTAACAAGAAAAAAAAACAAACATTTCGATCATGGATTACAAAAAATTCGATCATGGATTACAAACAATTCTATCATGGGTTACCAAAAAAAAAAAAGTAAAAAATTCGATCATGGATTACAAATAAATAAATAAATAAATAAATAAATAAAAAAAAAAAAATCGTACGGGACTTGCCGATTCACTGTACGGAATCGGCGAGTCCCTGTACAGAATTGTCCGGTTCTCTCTAGAACCGGACGATTCCCATTTTTTTCGCCGATTCGATCCGTCCATGGCGATTCCCGAATAGAACCGGACGAGTCAGGTTCGACTCAGCGTTTTTTTAAACACTCGGTAAAACAATTGGCAAGCTTTTGATTAAGAAATGAACAAAGGGTATTAGTTTGGCACATCTCAAGGTTTTTAAAAATACTTCATGAGTTATGAGATATAGATTGGAAAATGGATCGGGGTCATGGAGACTGCTATGCAGAATCCATGAGATATGGATCGGAAAGTGGATCGGGGTCATGGAGACTGCTATTAAGAATTCACTTCCAACCCCCTTATTTTTTCCTTCTAACAAGATCTATGTTAGGAAACCCATTGATATATATATATGAATTGAAAGTTTGCTAAGAGAGAAACAACATATCAAAATTTGAGTACATTTGGCCATAGGAATCATGAGATGTGATCAAATCTTTTAAGGCCAAGAAATTTTCTACGCTGGAAATTGTTCCTCATTGCAAGTACACACCCATGGTTTGGTCTTTCCTAGTAAAACTTGGTGGTCCTTCTATCATCCCCGAGTGATAGCTTCAAAAAAAGGCACTTCCCATCATTGGATCTTGCTGAAATTTGGAACTTACGCTTTTGGAATAGTGCCTCTCTTCCAAAAAAATTTCAGGTCATTTGGCAAATAACTTATTGGGTTTCTTTGTAAATTTTGGGACAATTGAGGGGCACCCCTTCTATAATTATGAAAATCCAAGGAGCCATATCTTGGTTGTATGATATTATAGTGAGCTCAAATTTGAGATTTTATCCTTTCTTAAATATTTCAACCATTTGGTCATGGATTTCTCATGGGTCATTTGAGAATTTGGGGTCTATCTGGGCCACCCCCTTTGTAAGTGTAAATTTCGAGGGGCGATAGCATGGGATGTTTTTAAAATGACTTAAAAATTTGGGGACACCTTCATGGTCGGTAGACACCTCGATCCTGATTGAAAAGACTGTATGCCAACCAAGACCCCAGGACAGCCTCCCAAAAACCTAAATCCTCCCCAACACCCAAAAAAACCATATCTCATTACCCACACCATGAGTAGGAGTGTGAACTCAACAAAAAAAAAAAAGAAAAAAAAATAGCCTTAGTAGGCTTAAGACAGGTGTCTATAAGAGGAAAAGAGCCAACACAGATTCTACCACCGCTTTGAGGTGAATCCAAGCGCAACAGAGGTTCCACCGTAGCCAATGCAAGTTCACCATCGCCAAACTATGATGGAACCCGATTAGTCAGGAAAAGGAGGTTTAATCGCCTGACATCAGAACGATGAAAATGTAATTATTGCGTGTAGCTTCAATGCCAATAGCATCAATGAACCTCAAAGCCAAGCCAGCCTCTGATTGGCCAAAATGGGCGGTTTAACCGTCTGACATCAGAATGAGAGAAAATTCCATCATTACTTGAAACGTGAAAGCACCTGACATCAACCGATGCCCTATTATTGGCCAAAACAACTGTATTTCGCCAAATATCGGAATGCAGAAACTGACACCTAATGATTACCCATCATTAGCACAAACGAGGATGGCAACTCCATTGGCCAGTCTAGGGATTTTTTATTAGTCGAAACTATTGTCCAAGAACAAGTTTTGAAGTAGGCAATTGACACCATCATGAAAACCCCATTTGAAGACCAAAATAACCAAAACAGAGCATCAAGAAGAGCCAATGCTAATGATAGTCTTGTGTACACAACATGACACCACCAAAATCACGTGGGTCGTAACATCAAAATATCATGAACAAGACCTGTAATCATTACAATCGACGCGGCTGACACCTGCAATGGTAAACATGATAACCACGATAGCCAAATGGATGGCCCATATTCAAATCACAAACTCTAAACAATGATTAGATGTGACACATGTCTATAAATTGAAACTCACACCTCATTCCAAAGGGTTGGGAAGGAAGAGAGTTTTGGTGTCGAGACTATGCCTCTTTAAGCCCTCAAGATTTCTAAACCCAGACTCTGCCGATCGGAACCTTAATCCAAAACCAACCTAAATTGAAATCACAATTCCATTCTCCTATCCTTCAAGCCTTAGATAAAAAACAACACTTGATCATTTTCAATGAGCGAATCTCTGACAGTTTAGGAAAAGTTGCACTTAGGCTAGTCCTAAATTGGAACCGTCTCTATGCGTCGGGCCCTGAGGCCAGGCCTCAGGTTCTTTAGCTTTATTTATTTCTTGCTTCTATTTCATGCAACTCTTTTCGAATTTTTTCAAAATCTCTCCCCTTTTTACCTTGGTTGCTGAAATCTCTGAACCGGTTCCAAACTTGGCAATTTAAAAAACGGCTCTGCTGGCACTCTGAGCAAAGGTGGGTCTTCGAGCATGACTCTCGCCCCAACTGCAATTTGACGAGACCCATCTATCTTTTTTTTTAGAATCAGTAACCATTCATTTCATCAAAGTTTTACATCAGACGAGAATGAGCAATACTAAGCCCAACAACAACTTATTTACATATTACAATCTAATAAATAAATAAGATATAAAATTTTAGAGAATTACATCATTTAGATATTCCACCGCAACTCCATCTTTTACAAGATGATCAACCTCCATGTTGGATTCTTGATAAACATGGACCAAAGTAGCTGCCAGAGTACAACATTCCTCACCCACTTCCCTCATTAAAGCATGTAGAGACCATGGAAATTCAGCCTCTTTCTTGATCCATTTATTCACGTTTAATGAATCCTCTTTTACCATCACTGGTTTGTTAAATTGTTTAACCAGTTTAACACCTTGAAGCATGGATCTCTGCTCTGCCTCATTTGTCGTGATGCTCCCAACAGGTCAAAAATATTTCATCAGAACATTTTCTAACCAATCTCGAACAAGGACTTCAATTCCAGCTGGGCCTGGATTACCCAAAGACCTTTCGTCAAAGTTTAGTTTAATCCACCCTTCCTCTGGTGCCTTCCACAAACCAACTCTAATATCTTTAACACTCCTCTGTCT